AGAAACAGTGTGTAGGCAGTGGCAGAGACGCTGCCACCAATGCAAGTACATTACGGAGCACTATCAGTATATCACTAAGAAAGCTAAAACGATATATGTAAACAAGCTAAATGAACAAGGAATGTCCATGAATAAGTAATGCCAGGAGAATATTGATAACAATGCTAGCTGAGAGTAAAAATATTCTAACATGGACAATCAGGTCTAGTGGTATTTGAAATACAGCAATCACACAGACAGAAAGTGGCCATATCGATCCAGGTACTTGGATATATTGCATAACTATTCAAACTAATTTCTAATTTCTTGTGCATTTTCTCCCTAGTGTATGCAAGCTCTAACATGTCAGTTGTTCCTGAAACCTGCTTTGGTACTCGGAACATAATATGGGTTTTTTAAGAATTCTCTTAATATCCCCACCCCACCCTCAATTGATCTGTACTGAAGCCCTTAACATAATTGAAGTATAGCACACATTAGATCACAAGCTCGTCTGTACCTCCTTGATCCAGGCATAACAAGCCAGCCCTTCACTTTCATGGATGAAGGTAACTCTATGTTTAGGCATCAGTGAAAAACCAACCCCTCTACATTCTGCTAAAATGGAAAAAGAAGGGAAGGGAATAGAAAGCCAGGCAAAGTAACAAAGGTCATCCTCTTTCTGCATGCGAATCCTCCGCTACTGTTGCACAGATAGTTGATTTTCGTGCCTTTCTACTAGTAACGAGGGGACAAAGAAGTATGAAAGTAATATTATATCTCAACTCAAGGTTAAGATGATGCTTAGGATGACATCTCTGGATGCATTATATTACTATTGAAAAGTCCGCATCATGACATACTGAAAATATCAGGAACACTTGTTAATGCTGAACCAAATCATGACAGCTCTAAGCAACCATACTTCACGAATTGCAGAGTAAACTCTCGTACTAGTTCTGTTACATCCATGACCTGCTTGAGCTTTGTACATGGCACAGCATAGGAAACAGATGGTGTCATGAAGAGGAAGATACTCCAAACTTTCATAGAATGAGAGAAACACTGCGTCAGACAAAAACAATAAACAAAAAAAGAGAACCAAGACCAACGAGTTAAAAGTTCCCTTATCTAAAAGTATTTTTTAGAAAAGCAGTAGGATGAAGACTCTTATTGGCTAGTTTATAAACCATGTCCCTCTTTCTCCAATATCTCACACAACTCTCTCACTTACCAATTTATTGAAACTAATATGGACAGAGAGGGGAGAAGGGGGTGACTTTCTCCTTACAAATGCAAGGACCAATATAGAAATTTTAAAATTAAGAGGAAAAAACAGTGTCCAGGCTGTGGCAGAGACACATTCCGCCAATACAAGCACATTATACAGCAACATCAGTATATCAGTAAAAAAGTTAAAAAGGTATACAATAAGCATAAACATCCTAAGTGAACAAGGAAAGTTCATGCATAAGTAACACCAGGAGAATATCAATTAACATGCTAAGAGTAAAAATATTCACCACTCGGACAATCAGTTATAGTGCTACTTGGAATATAACAATCACGACAGAAGCAGCCATGTTCATTACGGTACTTGCATCTTGCATTACCATTTTGAATTAATTTCTAATTACTTGATCATTTGCACCCTAATACATGCCAGCTCAAACACGTTGATTGTTCCTGAAAGACAGCAGCAAAGAAAATCAATCAAGAAAAAAGGACAACCGTGACAACTACACTCCATCCAGTTAAAAGTTTCCTTGTCTTAAGCTACTTTTTACAAAAGCAAAAGGATGCGGACTTATCTTTGTTAGTTTATAAATTAAACCATGTCCCTGGTTCTCCAATATCCCACGCAACTCTTTCAATTATACCAACTTATTGGAACATGAATATCTCAAAGAAATACATACACTGTAGCTTTTGAGAAGGAATACTTTTACTAGAATGAAACCTGGTTTCAAACTGTATTAGTACTTCCATTCTAAGAGCTATTGAGACAGTCCTGGGAAATGATTTTCTCCAGATTCAATTAACTAACTGCATTAATCTTACTCAAACCTCAGCATCAATCTTCATTCAAGCTAATTTAAAACAAATTCTTAACATGTGAAGTTTAAGGGATTCCTTTATAAGATTATAGGCACCTACTCCAATTTAGGATCTTATCATACAACAATGAAAAGCATACCTATTATATTGTCAAAATTTCGTACAACATCGAGGAGCATCTCAAAGAGGATGAAGCTATATGTGATGAAGGAAAAATTCAAGAAATATATCTCTTCCAGATAAGATTAGATAAAAATTTTAATCTAAAATTTTATCTGGAAGAGAGATATTTCTTGAATTTGTCATGAATCAGTATGTCTTTTACACCTGTAGTTAACAAGTGTGTATTTATCCCAAATTTACTTATGTAAAATCAAAGGTGTAGATAAGATCCCATAAGATCAGCAAAATGAGCGATTAGCACTTTTTATGAAAACTAAATGAATGTGGTTAATTTTGTAAAGATAACATGTTATATGGAAATCTTCTACTTTCTATCATATAAAACTCAACTTTCTACCATACTGCAACAAATGGTTGTCTACTACTTCAAACTCAGTGTGTAACCTCAACAGATATTTTCAACCTTTTATTTCCCCTCTAACTGCTTTGTTAATTACTTGAGTCACTTAATCCATTTGGATTATTCTCATGAACAAAACTAAAGTTGTAACTTTTTACCTCTTTCCTTCTTAGGAATTTTTTATACTTCTGGTTCATGCACACTAGCAAAAACCAGCCTCTCCATATACCATGGCATCGTCCATGTACAAAGGCAGCCTAACCAGACTTGAACCCACTGAGATGATCTCTTGGGACAATAATTTATATACATGAAAAACTACACCAAAACAGATAATAGGAACATGGCCCGCCGCCTGTCTAACAAGCACTTATGGTGCCCTAAATGATCTTGTCACATTCTGTTGATCCAAACTTACTGAAGAACCATCTTATTTCTGACAATTGACATGAGATTCTATTATATATCACCATTTTTGTAGCCTTCATATGTTCAAATAATTGGCATTTAGGCCAGTCCAATATGACTGTTATCTTAATCTCTCTACTTTCCAACCTCTTTAACACAATGATATATCATTACATGTTTCCCTCGGGTTCTGTACTTTTTTTTTCGTGACTATTCTTACTGACAACAAACTGCAGCCTGGTGCCAAAGGCTGTCAGTGAATAAATAGAAATGCTGCATTCTTAACTTGTACAGCATGTCCTCGTTGAAAAGGCGATATTTTTCTGCAATATTTCTTTCCTGACGAAGTAAAACTATGTTATAGATCAAAGTCCTCCCTCCCTGACCTATATCATGCATGTGCAGTTATAATCCTACTAATATTTTGAAATATTTTTTGAGTGAAATCCATTATTATGTATAAATTTAATTCATTAGAAATTATGCAGGTATACGTTCACGTAATTAACGAGATATTAGATATTTGTTAAAATCCAATGCTAATCACATACGCATTAGATTATGGTGATTGTGGACATTGAAAGATAATCACAACTAGATTGATGAATATATGGAGGGGCGGATCTAAATACAGTCCAGGTGGGGCACGGCTCCCCCAAAATTTTGGGGAAAAAAAAGATAGGGGGGTTTCTATAAAACCTCCCCCTTTAAAATGGAGGATGCTTTCCTCTCAGACGCATTAATGTTGTTTATTGAAAGAGAAATTAGATGAAAGTCTGAGCATTGATGCTATCATTGAAGACATTAAAAATTTTAAGGAACGTCGAATTCTTTTTAGTTAGAGAAGTTTTAGTTATAAAAAATTAGATGATGCTTATTTGAATATTTTCTACATAATTTTTGTCTTCCTTTTTGAAATATTTTGGAGATATTGACGTTGGCTATTCAACTCGTTTTGTTTGGGTTGTGGAATCCTGGATCCACCCCTGGATGTATTGTATCACAAGTATTATCCAGTTTGTTGAAAACTAGAAATTATTTAATCATGATATATTATGATTATAACCAAAGCGCTCTACTAATTTAAGAATAGTCAAGTAATTGTTTATTATTCATAATTAAATACCAACAATATTTACATGATAAAATAATAAATTATTGCTAGGTCAGCAACAATAATGATTTTCCCAAGAGTCTTTAAAAAATAAAAAATGAATAATGCCACGACATCAAAAGTTCCACAAATTGTCTCCAACCAAGTCCAAAATTGCTAAATCCAAGTAACTCCTACCAAAAATCCCAATCATAGTAATCTATTTCTTCAGAGATTTCCCTAGCCCTATGCAATAATATCAAACCAACAACAACCACTTTTAGAGACGAACTCATTATATCCATAAGTAATATCCTAATATGTATAATTAGGCCCTTCAAAAACATGTGAATATTCTAATTTGCGGATAGCCTCCCTCCTAAGTGTATTAAAGTTCTTATAGTCTTAGATGTCTGTGTTACAAGAACATGCTAACACACTATCTTCATCCAAGGATGGAAACTTCTCTGAACAGGGATGCGTGCACCTTTATATATAGCGACTGATAAGTATACTTAAAATGTCTATAACAACTAAAGAATTTTATGTAAAGATTCTAATTCATGGTTATCACTATTGAATACAATAAACTTCATATAGTTTTAGGTATCCCTTATATTGCTATAAATCACATGCTTTTTCTTCTAAATTTTCACTGTTATTGATGTGAAACGGTACAGGGGGTCTATTAGAATCAACGATTTAAATCAAATAACACATCGTTTCACCAAATTTCAAGATCTTTGGCAGGAATTAAAATCAAAACAACTAATGTGACAGATGGATTTAACAAAATTTGCATCAATAATTATGAATAATTCTAATCTCACTCAATTTAATTGCAATATTCATTATCATACACAAGTTCTACAATCAATATCAAATTTTAACAGTTACATGCTCAATTACTCTCAACCAGTGTTGTAAAAAACAGCCTGGGCGGCCGCCTAGGCGCCCGCCTAGGCGGAGGCGGTGCCCAGGCCGTGCAAAAAAGCCCTGGGCGGCCAAGTTTAGGCGCTGGGAGCGCCTAGGCGGCCGCCCAGAGATAAGCGGGCCGTGTAAGCGGCCCGCCCCACAAATTGGAAAAAAAAAACGATCTTTGGGCGCTGAAAACCCCGAACCCGAAACCCAAAACCCAAACCCAAAACCCAAACTAAAGTAACTACGTAACTAACGAAACCCTAATTCAGAAATTCTCACTCACCCGAGCCGCCACGAACTCGTCGAACTCGTCAAATCTGCTCCTCGTCGAAGCTCGAACGCGTCGAACTCGTCTTCGATCTCATCTTCACCTCTGTCGAAGCTCGAATTCGTTGAAGCTCGAACTCGTCGAACTCGTCAAAGCTCGAACTCGTCTTCGATCTCATCTTCACCTCTGTCGAAGCTCGAATTCGTTGAAGCTTGAACTCGTCGAACTCGTCAAAGCTCGAACTCGTCTTCGATCTCATCTTCAACCTCTGTCGAAGCTCGAATTCGTCGAAGCTCGAACTCGTCGAACTCGTCAAAGCTCGTCTTCAACCTCCGTTCTCTTCCTCATTGAAGATCAAACGCGTCGAAGCCCTTAGGAGTCCGCTTCATCACTGTAACAAGATAAAGGACTAATTAAACCCATTTCAGAGATGACCTTTGGTTTAACATTAATAGCGTTATTTGCTTATTTTATTCATCATTTCATAGATGACCTTTGGTTTAACATTAATAGCGTTATTAATATTAAATTATTAATACTGTTGCTCAAATCAGTGAATGGTTTTGGTGTTTACCGTGTTTTCCTTGTAGTCTATACACAGTGCATTTTTTTCAGTTTTTATGTATTTGTTTCTTGAGAATTTCTTTTATGGAAAACTTTTACTTAGTCGTTAAAAAATTAACAGTGTTTATCGTGTTTTCCTTGAAAGTACAGTTTGGATAGCATATGTGTTGGTATTTTTGTATTTATGCATTGTTGATTGAGTATATATATTTATCTTCAACTTCAAGTATCACAATTAAAAAAAGAAAAACCGCCCAGAAGAAAAAAACCGCCCAGAAACCGCTTAGGCGCCCGCCTAGGCGTCTAAGCGCTGGGCGTCAAGTCCGGCGCCCAGGAGCGCCCAGCGTTTAATGTAACATTGCTCTCAACTCACAAATATAATCTAAACAGTGAATATATGATAAGATTTTAGAGATGGAATACTCATGCAATTAACTAATAAAATGAGACTAACAGAAAAATAATTAGAAAATAAATCATAACAACTAACCCACGGGTTGTTACTCTGCAAATGAGCTTCGATGGGTTCGACGACTCACTATCGAGCTCGGGTGCTCGTCAATGCGGAGGAATGGGGTGGCTGCAAGAAGAAATCGAGGGCGGTGGTATCGACTAGGTGATGACGCAGGTGACGGCTGTTGACCCTATAGTTTTGATGATGATTTTTCAAACAATTTATCGCTAATATATTCTCTAGTTTTTGTGTTTATGTTTCTCTTTTCAGGTATTTCAACA